ATTTATTAAGATAAGATAAGGCTATCCGATAGGTTTCTGTGCCTAAAGGAATCCTTTATAAAGGTAACTAATCTAAGAGGAAGGGGGAATATAACTTGTCTAAGTTATAGGGGATTTCGAACTTGTTGGAACTTGCTTGACTTGGGGGAATTGGTGGGGTTTTTATATCCATTGGATAAAGTGTCAATACTTAGTACTAAGCGTCGCTGAGAAGCGTCAAGCATTAAGCATCGAGCGTCAAGCGTCAAGCGTTAGGCATCAGACATCAAGCGTCAAGTGTCAAGCGTTAAGCATCAAGCATCAAACGTCAAGTACACTTTTTACAAGTTTTGTGTTGGAATAGCGTATAATTTGCTGTAAGAAAATTCTATTACCATATTTGCTGACTATTAGATGATACAAGCGATTAGGTAGGATTAGTTAGTTTTAAAACGTTCTTGATTCTATATCGATTTTCTGTAAAAAATTGGTATTATCTTACCCACTATTGTAGCAACGTAAGTGATTTTAGACAGGATTAAGTTAGCTTTGTGTTGGAATAGCATGATTTCTGTAGTAATTTGCTATAAGAAAATTGTTACCTTATTTGCTGACTATTAGATGATACAAGCGATTAGGTAGGATTGGTTAGTTTTGAAATGATCTTAATTCTATAATGATTTGCTGTAAAAATTGGTATTGTACTTACCAACTATTGTAGCAATTTAAGTGATTTTAGACAGAATTATGTTAGTTTTGCACATGATTTGTGTAGTGATTTGCTGTAAGAAAATTATGTTTCCGTATTTGCTGACTATTAGGTAATACAAGCAATTAAGTAAGGTTGATTAGTTTTGAAACGATCGTGATTCTATACCGATTTGCTGTAAAAATTGATATTGTACTTACCGACTATTGTAGCAACATAAGTGATTTTAGACAGAATTATGTTAGTTTTGTGCATAATTTCTATAGTGATTTGCTGTAAGAAAATTCTATTACCGTATTTGTCAACTATTAGATGAAATAAGCGGGTTGGTTAGTTTTAAAATATTCATGATTCTATATCGATTTGCCGTAAAAATTGGTTTTGTACTTACCCACTATTGTTGCAACAAAAGTGATTTAGACAGAATTATGTTAGTTGTGTTGAATATTCAAGATTTCTGTAGTAATTTGCTAAATACCATATTTGCCAACTGTTGAGTGACATAAGCGAGTTATGTTAGTTTTGTATTGTGATTTCTGTAGTGATTTAAGAAATTTGTTACCGTATTTGCTAACTATAGTGGAACATAAGCAGTTTAGATAATTGTTAGTTTCGTATGAAATAATCGTGATTTCTAGTGATTTACTGTAAATTCTACTACTGTACTTATCGACTATTATGGTAATGTAAATGATTTAGATAGAGTAATGTTAGTTTTGTATGGAATAATTTCTATATTGATTTGCTATAAAAAAAATTCTTTTACCGTATTTGCCGACTATTGTGGTGATATAAGAGATTTTGTTAATTTGTATTAAAATAGTCATGATTTTTTTAGTGATTTACTGTGAAAAATTCTATTACTGTACTTACTGACTATTATAGTAATGTAAGTGATTTAGATATAGTTATGTTAGTTTTGTATTGGAATGATTTCTATGGTGATTTGCTGTAAAAAAATTCTTTTACCTTGCCAAATATTGTGGTAAAATAAAAGATTTAGATAAGTTTATGTTAGTTTGTATTGGAATAATCATAAAAAAAATTCCATTAATGCACTTACCAACTATTGTGGTAGCGTTAGACAGAGTTATGTTAGTTCTGTAATGGAATGATCATAATTTCTATATCGATTTGCTACAAAATTCTGTTACCATATTTGCCGACTATTGTAGTAAGATAAGAGATTTAGATAGGGTTAGTTTGAATTGAAATAATTATGATTTCTATAGTAATTTGCTGTAAAAAAAAATTCAGTTGCTGTACTTGCCAACTATTGTAGTACATAAGAGATTTTATATAGAGTTATGTTAGTTTGTATTGGAATATCGTAAAAAATTCTATTATTGTACTTACAACTATTGTAGTAATGTAAGTGATTTAGACAGAGTTATATTAGTTCTGCATGGAATGATCAAAATTTCTATATTGATTTGCTATAAAAAAAATTTGTTACTGTATTTGCCAACTATTGTAGTAACATAAGAGATTGGTTATATTAGCTTGTATTAGAATAATCGCGATTTCTATAGTGATTTACTATAAAAAATCATATTACCATACTTATTGACTATTATGCTAACATATATGGATATTAGCTTTGTATTGGAATGATCATAATTTCCATATCGATTTGAAAAAATTCTGCTACCGTATTTGCCAACTATTGTGGTAACATAAAAAATTTGGATAGAGTTATGTTAGTTTGAATTGGAATAATCATGATCTCTATAACGATTTACTGTAAAATAAATTCTTTACTATACTTACTGACTATTGTGGTAATATAAGAATTAAGATAAGGATATGTTAGCTTGTATTGGAATAATTGTGAATTCTATAATAATTTACTGTAAAAAATTCTATTATTGTACTTACTAACTATTGTGATAACATAAGCGATTTAGATAAATAGATAATACTAATTTTAATTGTAAAATTCTATTACTGTACTTAACCAACTATTGTGATGACATAAGTGATTTAAATGATTTGTTGCAAAAATTTAGTTATCATACTTGTGGTAATATAAGCATAAAAATTATTTTTATTGTTGTCTGTCACTGTACTTACTAGCTGTAGCGACATAGTAATTTGGATAGTTAGATTTGTCAAAATTAAATTAAAAAAAAACTTGTTTTCAACATAAAAAAAATTCAATGTATCGCAATTAAGCTTGATTTTCAAAAAGCACGAAATCAATTACAAATATATCATTTCATATAATCTTCACATCAAATATAATTGTTGACCACTGCTTATAGACTTAATTTTTTAAAATTGAATAGTACTCGTGTGTACTCCGGGTATCATATTTGGGGATATACCATATTAAATCAATCAAGTTACCCCGGGCCTTATTCAAGAAAGAGGCTGAGAGGAAAGGTAATACTCAGGTTTTAATCATAAGGTATTATTATCCTTGGAGGATATTGTAAGCAGTGGCTAATACAGTAATTCAAAATAAAAAAAATAAAATTAGCAATATTTGAAAATAACAAATTTGAGATAAAATTTGAACATGGTCTTAAAACCAAAGTTTTTAAAAAGTTTTCATATTTGAATAAAAAAAACTGAATTTTGTACAATTTACTGTTTGATGACATAATTCAAACTTTTATTTCTTTTATTTGTAATGCATCATGCATAATAAATCTGCAGAACTAAAAAACTATCTAAATACTTTACTAAAATATCGTTGCCTCATTTTATAATTTAGAGATCGATTTGGAATCTTGTCAATAAGCATGTAAAGCTGATTAGCTTTCATCTTATAAATAAATTAAAAATATGGTAGAAAAAAATTTTACCTTAGGAAGTATAATGAACACATTTTCGTGACTGGCTTAAGTTAGCATTCTCACTTTGGTTTTGGGGAAAAACTGCTTCAAGATGCTTTTTTGGTCAGCCTCGCTTTTGTGGCTGGCTTAAGTTAATATCATTACTTTGGTTCTGGGTTGGAATCACAAGATTTTTTGGAGGTTCTGGGTCAGGACCACTTCAAGATTTTTTTGGGGGTTCTGGGTCGGAACCACTTCAAGATTTTTTTTTGGTCAGCCCCGCATTTTTTTTATTACAGGTATATTCTCCTTTTCACTTCTAATTCTTCCTCTTTTTAGTCATCCAACAGCCTTGCTCTTTATAGGGTTATTGATTATTGAAAGCTCTGGAGATGCTGAAATATTCTTATGATTTGAACCAAGATCATCATTAGCGAAATATAGCGCCTTTAAATACTTCTCAAAGTATAACATAAAATCTGCACATTTATTAGGGTCCATTGCAATCTTGCTTACAATTTCTCCTGATAATCGTTGGATATACATAAACCAAATTCAAGAGTCACCTTCACCAGATGATTCATGCGATGCTAAAATTTCCGAGGTTTGTAATTGTGAACGGCTATAAAAATTAACATAATCTTTTGCAAGCTCCAACTCGGGCGGATCTTTTTGCCATTATTTTGAAAAATAAACAGGATCGAGATAAGTGAGAGATAGATGAACTGCAACTGCAAGAGAATGCTGACAAACTATCCTAGCAAACTCGAGATTACGGCAGCAACAAGAAAGTACATGATCATCATAGTAAACCTGACATATAACATCAGGCTTTTCATAATATGACAATTTGAAACAATGCACATCATTATAATCAGTCATTTTTTTGCATTGTTACAAGGTAGGTTGTAACACAGAGTAATACTAGCGTAGCATAGTATAGAAAATATTCTATTATTGTATTATTATATTATTATA